CATACATGCATGCATGCATACACATATACACACACGTATACATACGTACATACGTACATACATACATACATACATACATACATACATGTACAGATACATACACATGCATACATACACATACCTTTCCATACAAATTCAAACACAGATACAAATACAAATACAAACACATATACGTATACATATACACATACATATACATGTATACATATACATGTATACATATACATGTATACATATACATGTATACATATACATATACATGTACATATACATATACACATACATACATACATATCCATATGCAAAGACATGTGCATATACATACCATATACACAGGCATATACATACGCATGCACATACGCATGTACATACGCATAAACATGCAAAGATACGTACAGATACATACAGATACATACAGATACATGCAGATACATCCATATACATACACATACATACATATGCATACATATACATACATATACGAACGTCAACGTACATATACATACATGTGCATACAAAAACATACATATACATGCATCTTCATAGGCATTCATAGACAGAAATAGACATACATATACATGCATCGACATACACAAACATACATAGACATACATATACGAACCTATGCGTACAGATACATTCATATGCATACATATGCATACATAAACATACAAATGCATATTCATAGACATTCATAGACAGGCATAGACATACATACATCGACACACACAAACATACATAGACATACATACACACACATATATATCCATATACATATGTGTGTATATATATATACATCGACACACACACACAAATAAATACATTATACATCTATATATACCTCCATACCTGGACAGCTATCCATCCCTGCTACAACAAAATAGCTAAAGATACTCCCAAATGCACATGTTGTGTATGTTTATGTACATGGCAGACACTTGCTGTACTGTAAACAAAGACAAAACTACAAAAAAAAAACTTGCAGAAAGCCTTTCCTGAAGATCCAGTTCGAATGTCAGCTTTTGCCAGGAACCTTCGCAGATTAGCCCAGAAGAAATCTTCACTGGATCCGTCGAGGAGGGTGTAGTTGAAGTAGTGGTGACCTGGTGCGGGTTTTTAAATACGACTTCAAGTTTCTTGATTTTGGGTTTGAGCATTACGTTTAGGTTTGAAGAGTTTTTAAGGCTCTTGTTTAGTTGCAACAGGATACCTCAGAAAACGGACTTGCAGCCAATATGCCTCTGTCACGCAAGCCCATGGACCAAGGACGAGAACTAACCCTCAAGGAGCAGATATGGAGTAGATCAAAACGAAAGGTGCTGGTTGAAACAGCCTGGCGTGCTACGACAGTATGCGCATAGCCATGCAAAGAGCCGCTCTACAAAAACGTACCAATGTAGTCCGACAGCAACACGCCGTGCTTACACAACAACACAAACGCAAAACAGCAGAGCTATACGTAACCACCCAAACCTGAGATCGCACCTGGCCTCTTCGGTGCTGCTTCTTTCCTTTCTTGTCAGAATCAGCTTTTCCATCTGGAACCTGGGTTTCCATAACTCAACGCAGCCTTGTCGAAGCCATGTGTTTTAAGTATACTACAGGTCATGCATGATGAACGTTCATCAATCTTGCAAAGATGTGTACGCAAACAACTGAAACGACAAGTGCCTGCAGGCTGCAACGCCGAACTCTTGGGCATGAAACCGGTAGCGACTCCATTCTGGAAACACCTGCCTAGCGCTTCCACACTTCTTCCGATATGGCCGTCGATTGAAAGTGCGCAACCCCGTGTGCACATGACTTTCCAAATCCCAATACTCTCAGCACAAATTGGGCGCCAAACCTACCGAGCCTTGACAGGCTTGAAGTGAAGACAAATAACATTTGCGAACTGAAAGCCAAAAACCCGGAACTATCTGAGGCTAAAACTTCACCAAACACCTCTTCAAACGGAACTGCTTTGAGCGAAATAGATGCTGCCAGGCGACCTGGTACAACTCAACGACGTTATTTTTTCCTTGCTGCTGGCTCGACTCCTTCACCTTGTCGATGATTGCGCTAACCTTGGATGAAGAAGCCCATTTTTCGACAGGTTGAAACACCCAAAGCAGTCGGAAACAAACATTTAAAAGTGTGTCACAACATGGAAGCGCCTATGACACATGGAACCAACCGCACCCCAAAAGCCGCAGACTTAAATCAATATTTTTGCTTTCCTCTGGGAACCTATTTTGTTGTCTGTTTTGTACCACAGGCCTACGCGCGACAGGCCTAAGCACGCGACTAATTTCTCCTACTTTTCTGCGCAGGGGACTTCCGACTTGCGCATGGGACTTGCGATGGCGATTCCGGTGCATCATATATCTTAGACATGCCCTCTCATTTGGCGATTCCATTTCATCATGTATCTCAAACACCCCCTCATTTGGCGACTCCGGTTCAGTATATATCTTAAACACGCCCCCTCATACTCCGTTTTCCCAAGTACTTTCAACATGCCCCCTCGTATGGCGATTCCGGTTCATCATATGTCTTGAACACGCCGCCACAACTGGCGATTTCGGTGCATCATATATCTCTCTTAAACACGCCCCCCCCGTTTGGCGACTCCGGTTCATGTCGTCATATATCTTAAACACTGCAGCACGCCGCACGATTTTGTGATTTAGGATATATTCTAGGCACACCACTTCATTTGGCGATTCCGGGTCATCATATATCTTAAACGTGCCTGCTCATTTGCCGACTCCAGCTCATGACATAATACCTCCAACACGCGCCCTCATTAGGCGATTCCGGTTCATCATGTGCCTTCGACATGCCCCCTCACTTGGCTTTTCCGGTAAGTCATACATCTCCTTTTTATGCGTGTATATATATATATATACAAACATCCCCCCTCATTTGGCGATTCCTGTTCACTATAGTTCATCATGTATCTTCAACACGCCCCCTCATTTGGCGATTCCGGTTCATCTCCTCGTATATTTCGAACACCCGCTTCAGTTGGCGATTCCGGCTCATCATATATCTTAAACGAGCCTCATGTTTTACTGTTGGGGATTCCGGATCACCATATATCTTAACACGCCCCCTCATTTGGCAATTGCGGTTCATCATACATCTTAAACCCGCCACCTTATTCCGCGATTCCGCCTCATCATATATCTTAAGCACGCCCCCTTATCTCCCTTCCTGTGGCGATTCCGGTTCATCATATATCTTTAAAACGGCCCCTCATGTAGTAGTCGTCATCGTCGTTGTAGTATCAGTATCAGCATCAGCAGTAGTAGTAGTAGTAGTAGTGGAGGAAGAGCAGGGGTAGGAGTAGTAGTAGGAGTAGTAATTAGTAGTGGGTCGTAATTATCGTGCGTGCCTGGACTCATTTAGAGAATGTTGTGTTTCGGCGCAGGAATGCGCAGGATTAAACCAGAAGGGCGGACAGGATCAAAGCGGAGCAGGACGAGAAGGACGAGGGTGGAAAAAGCAACGTGAAGCCGACAAGCAGAAAAGTGGAGGGGCATAAGAGCGAAGCATAAGCGCAGCGAAGCAGAGGGCGGAAAAGCAGAAGCAAGAACAAGCAGACAAAGAGAAGCAAACAGAGGCAGAAGGCAGAAAGAACAGCGGAGAGCAGATGAGAAAAAGAACAAAAAGCAAAGCAGACGAGCAGAGAAACGCAAAAGCAGGGAAGCAAAAGCGCGGACAAGCACAAAGCTACAAGCAAGCAACAACAGCAGGTAGAAAGGGACAGCAGGAGCAAAGCCCAGAGGACCGCGGACAACAAGACCACGGGACCAGAGGACCGCGACCAGAGGACCACGGGATCGGAGCAGCAGCAGAAAAAAAACCAAAATACCCAAAGAACAACAAAAAATCTAGACAACATACAACTCCTACCCATTTGCCCAGAGACCATCGTCATGCACGCCTTTCGTTCATTCACCACGCAGCGGAGCGTCGATCCACCTGGCAGTCACGCACCGACTTTTGCCGGAACTCTCGGGAGAGCTCGACACTGTGCCCATGAGCCGCAGCATCTGCAAAGATCAAGCTAACTAGCATGCTTCCGTCGTCGTAGTGGTAGTGGTACTAGTAGTTGTTGTTCTTGCTGCTGCAATAGAAGAATCGCTGCTGTAGAGATGTATGACGATTAAGACCGAAGCTGCAACACGGGCAACAAATAAGCGTGTGAACATCTTGCTACGCGGAACACTCGAGATGCTGCGTAGTCAACTAGCTCACTCCAGGGAAGCAGCACGAACTCCTAGAAGCCACACAAACCTGATAATTCAAGCCATGAAACAACCAAGGCCACGATGTCTTCACGGGGATTCACGCAGACTTCGTTTCGAATTTCGGCCGCTGCGCTGGCTTTCCGGTCGGCAAGGTGATTGCGCAGGTCCAGCCAGCTGCAGGAAACAAATAGAAGGCGGCGTTTCAGAGGATGACAGGCGTTGACCTGATCATGAACCCGCTTTGAGAAGGACAGTGCAGGCAGGAAAGTGGCAGAGGGAGCGAGGAGCAAAGGTTTCCGGAATTCCGCTAGTTGGTTCCCGCCAGGCTTCATGGACACAATAAGCCCAGCCTCAAGACCCTCAGCCCCAAGCCTTGTCGAGCCGCACCATGAGCAAAACACCACGGCTGCCAAGGCTCGAGCTTCTCCTGAACGCTGTCGCCTGGCTCGTGGAGCCTGCGAGTACGGGAAAGCTTACCGACAATAGTATCCGCAGATTTTGCTCTGGGACAAGACAGAATAGAGTTACAGAATAGACTGGAACTGGACATGGGGATCCTACGTTATCAGCCCAACCCTTATGCGAAGCTTATGATGTGTCAGCGATTCGGCTCTGCCTCGGTTTCCATTCGCCTTCCTGGTGTCGTCCTCCTGCCTTGCGAACTTTCTGTGCTTCGCCCGTTGCTTTTGCTGTGGCTGTGTTTGTGTCCGCATGCGACTTTCGCTCCAGACGCGAAGGTCACGAACCTACCTGCCCACCGACAATGGAGGACAGCTGCTGCGTCTTTCCTGTGTGCCTGGCACCCCGCACGCCCTGAACAAGAACCAGGCAGCCATGCAGCTGGCACAGCGAGACTTGCACCGCATCCAAGTGGGGGAAAAACGTGCAGCACCTTTGCCTGGTGCAAAGGAGGCACAGGTGCACTTCGGTTGTGGCATCCCCATGTAAGAACATGTTGAGCTCCCATTTGGAACAGATTGTGTCGGCACCAGAGTGAGTGCCAGTAAGTCCACCGTGCTCTGAGGCACACTGCGGCCCACGAACGAGCCAGAGGCCCGTCAGAGAGTGAGTGCCAGAAAGTCCACCGTGCCGTGAGGCACACTGCGTCCCACCGCGTGAGCCGAAAAGCGTGACGACGTACCAGCACCTAGGCTACACCAAAAACATCAAAGAACCAAGACTACGTAGTAGTGCAGAGTATGTGATATATGTAGCACGCAGCATGTAGCACAGTTCTTAAGTGTAACACACACTTGTAACTCAGGTCCATGATTCCTCATTCAGCCCAGTGGCATCAGTGAAGCTTGACATGCCATCTTTCCTTGCGGGACAGACTCGTGCAGGAGGTTCTTTACACACATCGCAGAACGTCAGTGACTGCTTTCGCCATCAGCTTTCGCTCTGGTGTACCAACTTTTATACGGGCAAGCTGCGACCACACTCTGCATCTGCTGCTGCTGCTGCTGCTGCTGCTGCTGCAGCTCATGTGACGCAGCTCCTATGAACTAAGGGTCCACGGTTGTTGCTCAGGTTTGGGTCTTCTGGCAAGGTTTCGGCTTTAGCGTGCGGTTGTGCTTTGAAGCAAAAGAACAAGAACTGGAGAGGATCCGAAATTATGGTCCCCGTGTCTGGACGTACCCTGATGACTCCAGAAGAGCCGCTGTGTTTGCACGGCGCACTTGTTGCTTGCAACGATAGGGCCACTGCAGTGTTTGACACTGTCCAAGGGTCTGTGCGTGCAGCGCCAGCACGACGGGCACGTCTGACAAGCGCGTGGCTACCTGGCCAAGGGTGGTCTCTCCGTGTCGCCCAGATTGCTCCTAGCTATGGCCGAAAGCGCCTGGTCGAGGAACTGCTCGAAGCGCTCTCGTGCTTCTGGCTGAGGTGTCCCCTCACCTGCAGGGCAGAAACCTTGAAGTCCCAAACACTTTTCGCCGCTCACAAGATCCGAGCGTTCGCCTTCCTCGAGGGTCCCGAGGCCGTAGCCCGCCACGGACACCACCGCGTCGAAGGTGGCCTGACAATCTCGAGTCATCCCAAACCATCTCAAGCCTTCGAGCTCAGTCCAAGAGCTGAGACGAGACACTGGGGAGAATCCCCCGACTTGGAAAGCGCCGAATCCGCCCATGCTGTACCTCAGCGCGGCGACGCTTTGGCAACCACAGACAAGCCGTCTCAAAGACTCGAGCGACAGCAACACTTTGAGCTCGTCTGACTGCAGCTCAGCAGCCCCATCACCAGGGTACGCTCAGCTTGAAACAACGAGGCCAGAAAGCCGATCTGCTGTGAGAAATCGCGAAGAAACTCCTGTCAGAATTGCCGAATCCAGCTCAAGAGCGAAGACGAGCGCAACGGTCCTGATGCAACGAGCCAAAGACATAACCTGGCAAAGTGTTCAGCTTCAGCGGTATGTCCTGCTTGATTCAAGAATGAAATGAAGGAGGAGAGGAGTCGGGCCTAGCTGATTCTTGTTCTGGGTCTTGTAGTAACAGCAGCCCCAGTCGAAGCGGAGCTCGTTCTTCGCGGTCGGGCTTTGAGGAGCCTGCGACGCTCTCTGGATTTGCTGTTCCGCGTGCAATGACAATGCCACCGGTGCTACCGCTGCATAATGCAGGCGAAACGGCCATGAAGATCACACGGCGCTGGAGTCTCGCTTGCATCGTTTGCAGGTTCTTCGGCGCGATGGGGCCGTTGTCCTGTCCGAGAAAACAGCTCATGTCATGCTCAAGGCTCTCTACTCCTAGAGTCTACTAAATGCGACTGCGCTCCCCGGTCCATACCGTGGAGCCACACGAAGAAGTAGGGAGCTTGCTCACGCTGCTCTCTCGTGAGCCCATCGGTGGACTCGTACAACTGCGCCGGACGAAGGGAAACTCGATCCCGTAAGGACGACACTGCAAGACTGCCAGCCTTGTATGGTGTCTCCCCATATCTCTGACCTGCCAGGGGCGGACTGCTCAAGGGCTCTGTGCATGTTTGCTGCATTGCCGCACCATCCATTTCGGAGCCTGTCAGTTCGCCTGTTGCCAGAAGGCGGATGCTGCCGAAATCCTTCATGGCAGCGCCATCTGCATGCCCAGATGCATGGCATCGGTGTCTCGCAGTTTTATCTTCAGTTGCGTGTTCATCTCTGTTCGGGGAGGCTCCTCTTTGTCAACTGCTGAACTTGTCTCGCATGGAGGGGAACCGCTTGCCCAACAGATGCTCCTTGCGAACCCTTTGTGCTCTCACGGGCACAGTCTGTACATCCCGCTTCGGTTGATGCCGGCGGCGACGGCAACATATGTCATGTCAGGTAGGGTGGGCATGTTGGCAACGTCAGCACAATCAGCACTGCTCTGCACAAAAGGCAGCCATGAACGGAATTCGCGTCTTTATCGGGGAAAACGTCTTGACAACAAAAACCCCACTCGAGCAGGCTGCACAGCCTGTGGAGCTTGTTACTTCACAGCTTTGGTGCATGTAGAGCTCTCGGCAGACCGAACCAGTATTCTGCAGGGTCGGGGCACAAGGTCGGCCTGCCGCTCCTACTCCTACGGGAATTCTATATAGAACATTGCAAACGAGATAATGAGGCCATCGCTGGCCATCTTTGTACCCACAGTGCGCTACCGCCCTGGGCAAGGGGCCAGCTACAAGCCGGCATAGTTCTTCATGAGATCCGTGACCTTTGTGAAATACGCCTGCCAAGCAGAAACGAGAGCTTCGGCGGCATCGCATCACATCGGAGGGCGACCAGAGCTCTCCCTTTCGACGCCTTCTTCAAGTCCGGCTTGTAGAAGGCCGTGAGGTGACCCGCTCCCTCATCGTAAGATGCAGTACGGACAGAAGTTCGGCAGTTCGTGGTTTTGTTTAGGCGCCTTCAGCTCCTGGTAGTCGAAAGGCCCGGCGGTCCAGTCCTTCCAGGCCTCGCAAATGAGGCTTTTTGGCGTTTGCCTAGGGCATCCTACAGGGCCTAGCGATGCCTAGCGCTCCCAGCCGCGGCCTGCACCATCTCGGGCTTGATGAAATGCTCACCCTCGCACCACCAGCAGTGGAGGGGGAAGTCGAACTTGGGGGCTCCCGCATGGCGGAACTTGTACCTGTGCCACAGGCATCTGTGCGATGTGCCGACTGGCCGAGGCTCTGTGCGACCGAGGCCGGGGACTGGGGAGGCGCACTCGTCGAAGAGCTTGAAGTCGGCCCGCATCATCGGCTCCCACGTGTCCTTCCAGCTCTCTTCGAAGACAACCTCCAGGTTCAGAGAAACTCCCGTCGCTAGAACTCAGGGCTCTCTGCGAAGCTCCTTACTACCGCCCTCGAAGCACAGACGGCCTTGGCTGCCCCGCCGAAGTGCTCCTTGTCCCAGGCCTTGACTTCCTGCCACCACGGGAGTGGTCTTGAAAACTCTTGAAACGAGGCAGGACAAGCTCGCCTCCTGAAACTGCGAGTCGCTCAACCTGGCATTTCGCCGCCAAGGTCCTGAGTCGGGGCTTTCAGCTCCCTGGCTCCCAAGCTTCGCCTGAGCTAGGCCGCCAACGCTTGGCTTCTGGATAGTGGGGGGCCGGGAACGTCACCTGAGGGACGGCGCTGAAGACAGGCGATGCCTCCAACCTTCGGAAGAAACTTTCCGAGCCGCGAAGAAGGCGGCCAGGGGCATGGGAATGCCCACCTGAACAGGGGCCACGGCCGAAGCCAACTCTCCCGAAGGTGCCAGAGTCTGCCTTTCGGCAGAGCATCAAAAACTCAAAGCCCACCCAGGTTCCGACCTCACAGGTGCCAGAGGCATCAAAAAGCCAGGAATCTATACCATGGCTTGGGGTTGCCTAGCGTTACAGCACCGCTGGGGAAGCCGGCGGAGTGGCCCCAGACCAAGTAAGGCACGCCGTCCGTGAGCTTCTCGTGGGCCACGGCCTGTCACTCTGCCGTTGCTGCAGCAAGTTGAGCGGAACAGCTCCCAAAGCCCAAGCCAGTCAGCTCCACGAGCAGATCCGGAGCGAGGGTCTCCGTGCTCGTGTGCTTCGTGGCCTCCGGGCTTCGCTGTCTGCCGAAGTGCGCCTCCGCTCCCTCTCTCCTGCCTTCAGCAGCTTGTCTCGCCCTGGGTAGTCGAAGGCCAGAAGCTCGATCTGCCTCGGAACGGAGAAAACACCGCCGAAAAGCGAAGGAAAGGAGTACGCTGAACACTGCTGCCCAAGGGCTTGCTCTCCTTGATCCAGCTGATGAAAGGAGTGCCAGGCCTCAGCCAGTGGAGTTTGGAACAGTTAAGGCCAGAAGTGAGGTGCTAGGTACAAGACCCTGTGTAGATGGACTCTGCACTGCCAGCATTGTGGAAGCACAGAATTCGCAGCTTAGGCTTGTCCAAGGGGAAGCCGAGGACCTAAGCAGACACTTCGAACGAAGCGGAGCTGAAGAGCAGAGAAGCAGGCCTTGTACTTCATGCAGTACAGCAGAAGTGCCCCTTCATCTTTCTTGGCCTCTGTAGACGAGGTCATTGACACTGCCGGTCCTGCTTTGCACCCTTCTGCCTTCGAGTCAGCTTCAAGCTTGCTCTTGAGAGCGGCATCAGTCTCAACAGCTCCTGCGGCGTCTCCTGCGACAGAACGGAGCAACATAAACCAACAGATGGAGGACAACAGAGCGAGGAAACGGTCTGCGGCAGATACCGGGGTCCAGGTCCACCCACGTCTTCCGGGGGAGTGTCGTCCTCGTCTTTCCTGACGACTAGCTCCTGACAGCCACAGAAGAGACCGAGTCTGGTAGGCTGCATGTCATCAAGATGAGTCGTGTCCTTGCCACTAACCTTCAGGCTGATCCAGCCCTCTTCCGGCCCAGTACCTGTCTGTCAACAGGCAAGGACTAGGAATCATATCTCCGCCTTGACCCAGGTCTGCTATGGGATTTATGCAACAGACTTCAGATGCCGTGACAGCAGCCCGACCGCTGCCCCGACATGCAAAGCTACGAGAAGTGCTGGACCTTTCAAACTTCACTCTGTCAGGCCCTGGATAGGACGATAGGAGGCTGCGATAGGCTGCGCAGCACCTGTCAAGCGCTTGTAGTGCAGGCGTTCGCCAACGAGCTTCAGCTCTTCGACCTGGCTTTGAGGCTCAGGCAGTTCCAGATCTTGGGGTCTACGGGCTACGGCCTTGGCTTCATCACTTCTAGATGCTCATAACACAGCTCCGGAAAAGGGTTTCATCTTCCACCACCTTCAAGCTCATGGCTCGATTCTGACCGCCTTCTTGTTAGTTGGGACCAACACGGGAAGTCTATGGGATGTAAAGCTTGCGGACGCCCTAGTCGAGACGATCACGTCGAGAAGCTAACGGAAGCGGGCCGTGGCATCGGCTCTTCTCGAACTAGGCTCTCGGAGCTTCTGTTGCTAGTTTTGCAAACTCATCAGCCTCACATCTTGGCTTCTTAGATGCTATGCTGTGATGAGTGCAGTTTATCTCTGCACTGCAAGGGAGCCTGGCTCTAAAACAAGATTTCACAAGTGCACTGCGGCGATGTGCTGTCCTGAATGTGCGGAGACAAGGCTACTGATCGTTAGTCCGTGCGAGCTCTCGTAGATTGAGTAGAAAGTAGTGATCGCAACCGCGGAAGTTGCGATGCCCCAAAGGCCCAACTTTTTCTCCTCCAGCCGGCACTCATCCGCGCGGCCTGGGCGTACACGGGCGACTGTTGTTCGCCAAAACATGACTAGCTGGTACTCTGCAAACCCGGGATGCTTCGGAGAATTGCATCGTTGAAATCGCCAGAAACCCTGTCCGGACTGAAACAGGACGGAGGACCCTCCGGCCACGGGAGGACCACCCTGCTGCCACTTCACCTGGCCAATGTGACTCCCCTTGCCATGGGACCCGGCACGTCCCAAGAATCCCGGGCCCGGCCTGCAGCAGCTCTGAGAGGAAGCTCTGAAAGAGGGGCACCATCACAGGCTGCTCAGAGCAGCACTGGGCCCTCACCTCTGAGCTGTGAGCTACAAGGGGGCGACTCCTGCCGTTAAGCGCGTGGCCTTCGCCTGGCTTTCGAACCCGAGCTCCCGGCTCCGGGCCCTCCCTTCTGCAAGCTCAGCTCGCAGAAAACCGTCAGCTTGTTGCTGGTGGTGCCTGAGAGCTCTCCGCAGAGCGTCGAAGATCGAGACGAAGCACGAGAAGCACGAGACGAAGCGCGAGGTCAGGCCCGGACAGCTGATGTAAAGCGAATCCGCCTCCTGGCCCTGCGAATCTCAGCTTTAGGAGGCAGGGATGCCAGGGGGTTACACGGTGTGGGAACAAAGAGAGACGCCCAGCCTGGGTCTTCACGACCACGTAGCAGAAGTACTGCTGCAACCTTCCAACACACCGGAATAAGCCACTCGGAGCCCGAAGGCTCGAAGCTGCGCGCCTTGCAGCAACCATCTCTGGCATCACTCTCTGCGCGAAGACTCCCTGGGACATCGCCTGCAAAGCTGCAGCGGCAGGAATGGCTCGGCTCTACGCCCCCTCTACACAGAAGACCGCAAGGAGCAACTTTGCCATTGGTCTCTTGACTGCCGCATGAGCTGGCCGCGAATGCAACACAGGCCAGAACTGCAGGCATAACACAGGAGTTGGATATCAAGTCACTGTCCCTTCACTCGACAAAAACATCAAGTGTCTCGATTCCAACCCTTAGCGAAGGCCAGTCTCGAGTGATTCTGCCAGAACACTGAAACCCTGCCGCTTTGCGCTCTGCTTGGCTCCGGCCTTCTGCACGGACTGGTTCTGCCAGACCCGCTGGAAGTCGTCTTTTGGAACCGGCCCGCTGTCCATCAATACCGCTGACAAGTCGTAGGGCACCTTTGGAGACTCAATCTCCCGCGACAGCAGCTAAATTTGGCTTGCAGCCACGGCACATTAAAGTAGAAAATGTCGACGCTGGACTTTATCGCTACCTTCCGGCTGGGCAGCTGGCACAGCTTGCACTCAACAGCTAACAGTGTACAACTCCAGCCATTCCCTTCATTGGACTTTCACTTCACTGCAGGACTTCAAATGCGGCTAAGCAACTTCCAAGTAAAGAGGTAGTGCTGGCGGTGTACCTCGCAAACATCAGACTTTGCCTAACAGGCTGAGCTTCCCTGGTGTCCGGCCTTGCAGCTTGTTGGGGGTCAGGGGGAGCAGCGCTTTGGCCGTTCCATTCGGTGCCACCTCTAACAGATCACGAATGCCAACAACTGCAAGGAGTGTATGCGCAAGTGTGCATACTTTTCTTCCTTCATGTATCTGCTCTCGGCACATATGTGCACATGCACATACATACATTTTTCCATTTGCAGCGTTGGAGTCCATGTCGGACGCTCACCTTGCATGACAGAAACAAAAAACGAATTCTGGTGAAACGAAGCCGGTCAAGGCGAGAAGATGCGGGACGTCTGTACTGCGAAGCCGCAATCTTCAAGCCAAGACACGGCGGGTCCAGCCGCCTTTCTGATCCCCGGACATTCGATGCAGAAGGGCTGGTGCTGCGAGATCTGCACAGCTTCTGCAACAACCCGACAGGCACCTTCGATCCACACAGCGAAAGCTTGAGCCTGACGAACCGTAAGGGGCGTAGCAAGACCGGGCAGCCAAAGTCCAGGCGGCGGTGCCGGTATGCTAAAGCTGCGGGGTTGGCCAGAGGAAACGAAGGAAGCGGGCGCAAGGCTCGGCCAGTCTGGGACAATGTCGGCGGGGCAGGCACGGCTGGGGGGGATCGCCTGCACGCTCTCACAGATTAGGACAGGGTCCAGCAAGAGGAGCAAGTCCGCCCCGACCTCATGAGCCCAGGACTGGGCTTCTGAGTGCCCGACCCAGGACTCGACCGTCCGTCGCAGGGTCTCAAAAGGCGCTATGTGCTCCTCAATCAACTGCCAACCGAGGTCCGCAGACTCCTCTTCCAACGCAAGCAGTGCTGTCAAAAGGGGTTGGCAGATGGTGTCAGGGGGACACAGAACGGGGGGGATTCGCAAAGTGCCGGGTAGAACACCTGGTGGTGCCTGTGCATGCACCTGGGCGGGCGGTTCGCTGGCGGGGACAAAGGCTCCCCATCTTTCCCGACACGCTACCGCGGTTATCAGATGGCGCTTGAGTCGACCCGAAGATGAGTAAACTTTGCCGCAACCCTCGCATGTCTTACCTGTGCCTAGCAGGAAAGCCTGGGAGCGATACCCGTGGCATCGCGCAGCATGCCCCGACCAGCTCACCCGTGTCGCATAGGCTTTGCGGCACGGGATACAAACTTCCCGGCACTGGGAAAGGCGAAAGGATGGCGTGTGGCCATTGCTGAGCGTGGCAAGTCCACGATACAGCCCATCAAGCGCTGCAATCACAGTATGTTTGTGCTGCTCGGGCAGGATAGCCTTTTTGATCAGGCCCTTGAAACGGCCAGGCTTCTGTAGCATCAGGGTGGACCACGCCGCCCATCCGGTATCAGGAGGAGGCAAGTTCGCAGGAGGGCCCACAAGGGAATGCAGCCATCGGAATGCGTCCATGGCTTGCTCCAGGTATCCCAAGTCAGTACGGATAAGGGCCCACAGGGCATCCGGTCCACCACGGAGGATCTGCCCTATATACAAAAGTCGGTGCATGCGTAGGGTGTTGAGAGGGCTCGGCAGCCTCACAAGGGATAGGCAGGTATGGAACGACAGATCCTGTTCCTGGTCTCGGCGCAGGCACAGAAGCGAACGATACAGCCTCCAGAGGCATCCTGCAAACTTCTTGTAGTCCCCCGAGGTCAAGGGGCTCCAGGCACCACAGCCAAAAGTCAATTTGGGGATGACAGCAGTGCGTAGGATGAAAGCCTTACGGTCCGGCGGGATGGCACGGGCTCGGTACACTTTGCGCCTCCCCTCATTGTACGCTGCAAATGCCTGGCCGGTTCGGTGCGCGATCTCGGCACTAAGCCCTCCTTTGGGCCCTTGCGTGGTGCCAAGATGCTTGTAGGCCGGTATCAACGGGACTGTTGCAGCGCCATCACCCTCTAGCAAGACCTTCAGCTCGCCGCCACCAGCCTTGGGCCCAAAAAGCTTCTGCCTTAGCTTACGGGATCCCGCACCGGCTGGGGAGGCCAAGATGGCTGTTTTGCGACATCCAAACGACAATGCAAATCCATGTTCCCGGAAGGCGTCTACGAGACAGCCTACCTCTAGACCCATGGCCACAGGGGCATGGACTGGGTCATGGCACAGCCGCATGGTCGCCAAATCATCAGCCCACACGACATCATCGATGTCGAGGGTGCCTGCTTCTGGTCCACAGGGGATGAGTACGCGCTGTCCGTCCCAAGGGATCCGGGGAGCCCGAGTGGGGTACAGCAATCCAGTGCGGAGCGCATCACGTCGATAGAGGACTCTTTGCATGACAGTAGCGAACAGAATGTCTGCCCAGCTCGATCCCGGTCTGGTCCCACGGTTCGTGGACACGGCAACTGTATCTCCCCGGATGAGGAAGAAGGTGCCGTCAGTAACGCAGTGCGACACAGCCTCGGTCCATGCATCGGCTCCTGCCTGTCGCAGTGCTGGTGGCTCAAGGGCATGATCTCGCAGACGGTCGAGGTCCTCGTGGGAAAGGTTGAGGTTCGCCAGGGCGGCATCTGGAACCCCTTCGTTGTTCGCCCCTGGGCGGCCACCTATAAGCTCTCGCACAGTGGAATAATATGCTGATGCGATGTCCGCAAATAGGACAAAGCCTGTGAGCCCCAGAGAGGCTGCCCAACGTTGAAACGCTCGGACCAGGTGCGATCCGTACACCACGTTGCTTCCCGGCCTACTGCCTAGCTGGAGCGGCGGGGCTGAAGCATGGTATAACTGAAGGGCCCGAGGCCTGATCGCTTGATGTATAGCTTTAGCCCAGGCATTGAGCAAAAGGATGGCTCGATATGCCCCGCAGTCTTGGTGGGATCCTTTCCCTTTCCAGAAGAATATGGCTTCCCCGACCTTGTGCCCGACCGCCTCCTCTCCCCGCAGCACAAATTTAAGCAACAGGGGAAGGAGGAGGTCCGCAATTTCCACAGGAAAGGTTTTGCCCAGTTCGGCCGGAATGCCGTCAGGCCCTGGGGCTTTGTGCAGCTTGCTCGAGGAGAGCACGCGTTGGATCGCCGTAACATCAGGGATGCTATCGAGGCTAGGGGGCTGTGGCCAGCTATCGGGAGAACGGGACATGGCCTTGCTCGCGAGGGCCTGCGGGGCGCTTTCAATACCAGCCTCTAGGCCCCCAAAGTGTTCACGCCATCGTCCCTGCGCCGAGGTCGAATCTTCACAAATCGACCCGTCGAGCTGCTTGATCATAGGGAGCGGCTCTGCCTGGTACGGCTTCCTCCTTTTGTGCTGAAGGATCTTGTGTACGGCTTGGAAGACCTCGGGGCTTGGGCAGGTAGCTATTTTCTGCGCCAATTCGCTGACATAGGCATCACGGTCTCGGCGGCAGGCTTGCCGAAGCTGGCGGCACTGGCCGTCGAGCTGCTGCTTATACCAGGCTTCAGCCAGATCAGCTCGGCAAAACCAGGCAGAGGTCGCCAGAACCTCAGAGACAGAAGGACCCCCTCGCCAGCACTGGAAGCAGACAGCACGAAGTTGGAGGTTGACCTGGTGCTTAAGTCTGTGCAGATCACGGCGAAGCTTGGTTACGGCTTGCTGGAGTTGCCAAGTTTCCATTTGGAGGTAAACATGCCAGGGCCGGGCTTGCGGGGCTGTCTGAAGCTTAGCAAGGCACTGCTGCATGTGTTGGGTGACCAAAGCGGCATGTGCATGTGCAGAGACGTGCCACGGCACCTGTGGTGCTGCACGGATGGCCTGCCTCAGCATCTCGTGGTTCTGCGGGTCAGTGATCAACCCTGTGCAAAATTTTCGGGCTTTAACACGGGAGGCAGCGCCAGGAAGCGACAGGGTAACCTGGCAGTCAACCATGACTGCTGCGTGGTCGATGGTTGCATGTGCGGCATTGATTCCGGGCGCGAGCTCGGATCTCACATTGGCTACGGTCCAGGCCTGGGGTATGCAAACGAAATCGACACGACACGGGTGCCCATTCCGCTTTTGGACGTATGTCGTGGTTGCCCCGAAATGGCAATGATCGAAGGTAGCGGGTGCCCAGCAGTCCGCCGCGCGGAGAACACGATGCGCAAAGGCTCCTGGCTCATCTTCAGTCTCCGCGCCGACAGGGCCCACATGGCTCGACACAATACTTCCAAGCGCGCAATTGAAGTCTCCGGCAAAGACTATCTTGTCCTGGCGCCTGTGCTTGTAAACCAACCCCAGAGTGGTCCGCCACCACTCTTCCAAGATATGGTGTTCGGTCGCTCGATGAGGGGCGTGGACACTGATGAAAAGCATGCTTAGCCCTCGACGACTGTAGCGGATAAACAGCCTACGATTATCCGTATACACCGTGGTAAGGGCGGATGCCTCAAACCGGTACGTCCTGTCCGGATTGGCCGACGTAACGAAGGGCGCGCCATCACGAAACCACCATTCAGTTCCGAATTGGCCTCTAACGCTTCCGCTAGCATAGCGCAGAAAATTTCCGACCCTGAAGGATCCCTGAGGTCCCCTAGTTTCCTGCAGTGCTGCAGCGGTGATGCCTTCATTGGTCATCTGGTCGGCAAGCAAAGCAGCCCTGGCAGGTCCACACGAAAGCCCCTCGCCTGCCTCAGAGCCCTTATCCTGGGCTTCACCGAGAGAGAGCGTGTTGAAACTGAGCAGGTGGATATGCAAGTGCATGCGTTCCTCGGAGCCATCATCCTTGTGATCATCCAGAAAACCCAAGGGCACAAAAGGGGCGATGATATCCTCAGGAGTCATGCCAGCATGGTCACAAGGGGCCGGGTCGGGGCTGCAATCCAGGGGGAGTGTAGGGACGGTAGCATGAGCTGCTGCAAAGGCTGGCGCTAAAGTTGTGGCTGCCCACGGCAACCATGGCGCACCGTGCGACAACCATTTACGTAGGACATCAGCGTCACAAAAGGCCGACCCATGTAATGCTCCGTGTTTAGCCAGCTTATCAGCCAGTTCATTGGCGAAGTGTCCTCTATGCCCAGGTACATATTCAAAAGAATCTGGGCAGCTGGGGAGCGATGCAAGCTGGCGTCGAAGCTCAATGACATGGCGCAGGGTCTGCGGGCAACCGCCTGGGGCGAAATTACAGCGTCCCGAGACAATGCCCAAAGCGGCTTGGCAGTCCGAAAGAAATGTCACTGGGATATAGCGAAATCTAGCCGCAGCAACCAGTCCTGCAAAGACGAGGGCGGCACATTCCCCGAGATA